GCAGCCTTAAGAGGTCTGGGGTCCGAGAGGGTCTCACAGTCTCACCCTGCCCCCCCATCCCTTGTCACTGCATCAGTCTGGACTGAGTTGCCCAATAGCCTGGGCTCCCCACTAGTCTGCAAGTCAGGCTCTTCTCCCAGGGGGTGGCCCTCAGGACCTATGTGAACCCCCAACTCGGCCCAAGGGCCAGTGGGAAGTCTTTGGCCACTGGGTAAGAATGGAGCCAACTGAGAGATTAGAAAAGGAAGGACTTTTTTTTTTTTAACCTACCTCTGTAGGTCCAGTCCCACTAGGGGGCCCTAGGCAGGACCCTGAGATCCCAGTGTTTCTCTTTCAGAATGGGACCTACTGAGCCCTCTTCAAGGACCTACAGCTAACTATTAAGGTGGACCCCTGAAGAGTTACAAAAGCCTCAAGGCCCCCCTGTGTCTCTGTTGAAACGAAATATTTGTGAAGTTGAGGAGAACTTCTCTAGAAGGTTCTGAACGTAGACAGCAGCCCAAGACCCTAAGGCAGGAAGCTTGAGCTCTGACTGCCAACCTTCGGCTCCGCACAACAGCTCAACAACTGCCAGGAAGGTGCCTTTGGAGAGCTGAATGCTCGCCATCTGCCTTTCCCTCCAAACACTCACACTAAAAACATTCCGAAGTGGGAAGACACTTCCCCAATCGCTTCTCCGGAGCATCCTTGCTGCTTCTGGATGAGGGACCTCAAACCTCTTCACCATTTTGCAAAGGTGATACACAGTCCTGGTTCCTCCACTCCTCCTCCCCCGACTCCTCCAGCTAAGCGAGGAGCAGTAACTGCCGTGGATCGGGTGGTTCGATGTTGTTGTGTTCAGAAACCCAGGCCCAACAACATGAAACTACCTAATTCACTTAGCAGTTCCAGGTCAAGCTCCAGGTCAAGGGCTCACTTGGGGTAGGGCCTGTGGCCCTTTTTGTGGGTCAAAAAGCCACTTCACTTCATTTTTCTCCACCTCTTCCCCAACAGAAGAGCCCAGTTGCTAGTAAACAACATATCCAAAGAACTGAACCCAGGACTCCAAGCAAAACCATTTTGGAGCTGATCCTTGCAGATTCCAGACTTTTGCTGTCTTCCAGGAGCCCTGGCCAGAGGAGAAGCCCCTAGCACATCCCTGGACCTGGGCAGGGCCTCTTTGGTACACCTGCTTGGTCTCTGCCCCTCAGCCAGTCTCTGCAGCTGGATGTCTCCACGGATAAAAAGAATTCTCAACTTCAAACTGTTGTGAAGGTGTATCTACACTCACCATGGGGCTAGTCCCTGTATTCCGGGGTCACCCAGCCTCCCAGAGTAGTTCTGAGAGGCCAATTCTTTAAGCCCTACATCAACCCCCAGCTTTGAGACTGGGGTGTAGACAGAAGAGTGGGGCAAAGAGTGTTGAGAAAGCAAGAGAGAGAGAGAGAGAAAGACGGAAAAGGACAGTGTCAGAAAGTATTAAGAACTCTAGGGAACAGAGGAAGGCTGTGATTTGGAGGGGAAAGCCTGTTGACCAGACAGTTGCTGTGAAGTCACAGCCTCTCCCTCTCGGAAACGTCCGCTGAGCTGCCCCAGGTAAGACAATCCATTCCGAATTCACAAATGGAACGGGAGGCTAAGGACTTGGATTGGGACACAGAGAACAAATTTGCTTCTTCCTTCCTGACCTTCAGTCTGGGTCCTTGCCACCCTGACGTCCTCTGCTGCCGCTCGCCACCCCCGCCTCTCCAAATACCCGCATCCTCACAAGTGCCCAAGCGCGCACCCCGCACCCATCCACAACCGTCCGCAGGCGTGCGGACCCAGGGCGGCCGACTTACCTGGGCGGCGGCCGGTGGTCGCGGGCGGGAGCGGCCGTCGGAAGGAGCGGAGGAGCAATCCCATCCCCGTCCGGCCCGGCTCCCTCCCGCCCTCGCCCGGGAGGCGAGTGTCCGAGTGGCCACGTGTCCGGCGGGGAAGTCCGAGGTAGCGAGGGAATCGGCCTGGTCGCCCGCTCCCCCTCCCGGGTATAAATCTTGGGGACCGGAAATACAATAAAACTTCACCGTGCTGATGAACTTCAAACGGTTTACATCCCCTCCTGTCCTGAAAAGAAAGACGGGCCGGGGGCGGATTAAAAGGAAGGGAAACAAATTTACGAGCGGCAGAAGCACCCGCCTCGGCCCCTTTCTTTGGGCTGCACCGACTTTGTCGGCGAGGAGAGAAGCAGCCTCGGCCTCGGGCCTTCACCTCGGCGGTCCCAGCCACCAGGCGTGCTGTCCTCTCGCAAGGAGTTGTCCGCGCGCAGCCCGGGCGGCCTGATGCCGAAGCCTGGAAGCTGCCGCCTGAAGTCAAAATTCACAGGGCCCCGCGCACATCCAACGGCCGGCCCGCCAGGCTCAGGATGAGGCTCCCCGCTTCTCGCTGCGGCAGAGCGGGGCGCGCTGGCGCTTCCTTGCTCAGGCCCGGCTCTCCAACCACACCCTGTGGCCTCCATTCTTTGCATCTTTCCGCTCAAAGCGGGTTTTTTTTTTTCTCTCTCTCTCTCTCTTTTTTTTTCGTCTTTAGTGGCCAGACCTTTGCCCTGCCCCGCCCGTTTATTGCCAGGTACTTGCTAGAAAGGGATAGAAGATAAGACTTCCAAGGCCTAAAGGGGGCTGAGCCGGCCAGGGACTCCCACAGCAGAAACCCGAGGGGCCGGTCTCCGTCGGTGTGGGAGTGACAGCCAGGGCCGAGTGGTGTCCAAATCGGCCTCTGCCGAGAGCCACCACCGGCTCTTCTCTTGCTCCTTAAAAGCGTCAAAATCAAACAAAAGCAACCACCACCCGGGCCTCAAGTTTCCTCTTTACAGTTATTTTCTGCTCTGGGTCATTTGCTTTTTTCAAAACTTTGTGAAATCCAGATATCGACACTAGGCCACCATGAACCCAAACTAAGAAAAACCCCTTTTTGCTTTGGGCTTCAGATAACTGGAAGCGAAGTTATTGACTTCCTGCTCCGTTTGTCTGCTCCAGGGGCTTGGTTAGGTGCCCTTCTGGGTGGGAGAGCAAAAGGGCTCTGGATCCTGCCCCACAGTGACTCACCCCCCAAACACCAAGGGTTCAGGTCTGAGACACCCCAGAGGGCTGAGATTAGCTCAGGCTCAGGCACAGGACTGAGGCCCAGCTGCAGGCCCAGGAGGGGTTTAGTGCACCCAAGGCACCCCCGCTTCCTACAGACACACAGGTGCAACCCTGACCAGCCAACTCCACTCCCCCTCCAGGAAAAAGCGCCAAAGTGCTGGCGGAGATTTTTAAAAATGGATAAAAAATGGAATGGGCAGGGAAAATACTAGGCTGTGTTCTACAGTTTCTAAACTTTCTGAAAGGCTAACTCTGCTGCAAGCAGTCCCACTGTGGCCCGGCCTGTCCAGACGTGGGTGGCGGTGTGGTAGGGGAGTGCCAGGACTGCCTTGTGGCTCCTTCTTGGCACCAAGAGGGAGGAAGGGGGGAACTCTTTAACAGCTGGAGGATAGGAAGTATCTCATTTTTATCCAACATTCAAATTCTAGGATTTGTGTTAGGAGGCCCCTCTAACTCCCCTCCTTACCATGTGCTCCAATTCCCTCAATTTGCTCTTTATCATGCTATATTTTTATTTAAAATACCGAGAAGGCAGCTACTGGCTGTCACCTGTCCTATCAGGATTTCCCTCTAGGAACAGGGCTGGACTGAGGGACCAGCAGTTTTCAGACTATTCAGAGCTGTTATTATCCATCCTCTGTGGGGTGCCTGGTCAGAGCCTGCACTGGGGGTAGGTCAGGTGCCGGCTCCCAGCCTATTGCTGACCTGAGTCTCCGTCGCTCCGTGGCTGATGGAAACATTTTATAGTCTTAAACTCTTTGGAAACACTGAAGCGGTCACAGCCTTAGAACCTTGTGCACCTGCATATACATACATTTTGCAGACATTTTCAGGGGTTTTGTGGCTTCTCCCTACCCCCATCCCTAGAACCTAGGCCTTGGATCCCAGTTTTAAAAAATTAAACTCTCTGCAAGGGGCTGAAGGACAGCTCAAACCTGTTTCCACAGATGCCAGCTGTCTCCTTCCGAGGTCACCTGGCTCCAAAGGAGAAGTCAACTTTCAACTACTCAGCACGGACACTCACAGACAGGAGTGCTGGTGCCAAGCACACTCCTGAACGTCGCTCATACATTAGCTGAGCTGCCGGTTAGTGAGTAAACGCCATTTAGGCAGTGCTTCCTTTCACACCCAAACGTTTTCCAAATACTTTTCCAAAAGCACGTCGATCTCCAAATAATTCAGAAAATTGCTGGCCAAGCTGTAAGATTTAGGGGCAACTTCTCTCTACTCCCTTTCTTCCTTGAAGATAAAGCAAAGTTCTAGCATAACTGCTTGGGGCTGGACAATTTGGATGGTGAGAGGAGCAGTGTAGACACAGAAGCAAAACACAAGATCCTTAAACAAAAGGATTGAGACCCTCTTCCATTTAGTGAGAGCAACAAGAATCAGCCGGGTGCAGTGGCTCACGCCTGTAATCCCAGCACTCTGGGAGGCCGAGGCGGGTGGATAGCTCAAGGTCAAGAGTTCGAGATCAGCCTGAGCAAGAGCGAGACCCCGTCTCTACTAAAAATAGAAGGAAATTAGCCGGACAACTAAAAAAAAATATATATATATATATAGAAAAAATTAGCCAGGTATGGTGGCACATGACTGTAGTCCCAGCTACTTGGGAGGCCGAGGCAGAAGGATTGTTTGAGCCCAGGAGTTTGAGGTTGCTGTGAGCTAGGCTGACGCCACGGCACTCACTCTAGCCTGGGCAACAAAGCGAGACTCTGTCTCAAAAAATAAATAAATTTTTCTGGGATTTCCTGGCCTCTCTCTTTCCGGGGTTCATTATGGGGCAAGGGGGTGGGAGGCAGTCTCGAAGAAGTCAGAGGTGCCTGAAGCCGAGTCCCTGAGACCGAAGCTGGATTTTTTTTTTTCTTTCTCTCTTTCTTTCTTTCTTTTTTTTTTTTTTATAATTTCTGGTGGCAGGCGGCTGGGGAAGCAGCTCTGCGGTTCCGGCGGGTGAGGCCGAGGCAGAAACAGACCTCTAGGCGGCGCCCTGGCGTTGAGTCCGCGCCGAACAAGATTCTCGCGCAGCTCTGCGTCCCGCGCCGGGTGAAGGGGCCGGTCCCTGCCGGCGCACAGGGCTTGGCCTGGAGCTGGCCGCCCGCACGTCGCCTTTGGCGCCCTCTGCCAAGCAAGAGAGACACGGTTAAACGAGTGCGCTGGGAAAGAAATGGCAGCTAATCAAAACCCCATCCGTTCCAACCCACCCCCATTCCCTACCGCCATCCCCGACGCTAGGGAGCCTTCCACAGCCTGGATCTCCTTTGATCTCCCCAGCGGCCAGCTAGAGGACAGCGCCAGCGTCTTTAACGCCTCCCAACTCGTAAAAGAAGACTCTGAGTTCCGAAGGAATTAAGTGGTTAGCCCAAGATTACAACAGCTATTAAAAGTGGTGAAACTCCAAATCGAATGTTCTTACCCCAAATTAAGAGGACCACCCACCCCAACAAACATCTTTCTTTTCTTCTTTCCTTCCTTTTCTTTTTTCTCTTTCTTCTTTCTTTAGTTCTTTCTTCTTTTCTTTCTTTTTCATTCTTTTCTTTCCCTTCCTCTCTTTGTTTCTTTCTTTCTTCGTGGGGGGGTGTCCCTAGGTTGCCCAGGCCGTCTCAAAGTCCTGAGGTCAAGGGGATCTATCCTCCTGCCTCAGTCTCTCTAGAAGCTGGGACTATAGGCTTGAACCCCTGGGCTTAAACCTTTCTTGTAAGCAAAATTCATCTTCAGAAAGGCAGGCTTTGAGGGTTGTCTATGTTGGAATTCTGGGGTTTCTTGGATTTCAGATTTGGGAGAGTGCATAAGAAAACTGGAGGTGGATATAGGGAGAGCTCAGCCAGGATTCAGAATCCAGACAAATCCAGCCCCCTCCTTTCTGGGAAATGGCCAGCTAGTCACTTACAACCTCCCCAGCTTATGTGATCTTGGCCAAGTGCCTTAGGCCCTCAAAGGCCCAGATGAAGAAGACCTACTGAAAGGGGATGTGTTAAAACGTGAACACTTCATGAAACAGGGCCTGGTAACTACGAGAACTTGTCGTTGGATGCACGACTGCTCCATAAACCCAAAAACAAGGGGCAGCCAGGGCTGGCACTCAGGTCACTCTCCTTGGCCTGAATGGAGCCTCTTTGTTAAGTCCTGTGGTGGGACAAGGAAAGAGAGGCCTTGTTTGGGATCCAGCCCCTCTGAGCCTGAGCTCAGAGATGTCCAGGACCCGGGAAGAGCCAGAGAGGAGAAACCAGAGTCCCTCCTCCCTATGGCAGAGACACCATTTTATACTGCGCAGCCCTCTGCCAGATATTTCTCCAGAGTTATTCCTTGGAGGACAGAGGTGCCAGAGAATCACCTGCAGGGGAGGAAGAGAAGAAGAGGGCTGAGGGAACACGGGGGCAAGGCAGCAAAGGGCACGTGCCTACTATGGGGCAGACTCACAGGGGGCACCTGCTGGGGTCTGCGGTCCCAGGAGATGCATGTTTCCCAGCCAGCAAGGGCTCTTGAGGATGCCTAATTACCGAGCACACATCTGGAGCAGCTGCGTCCTACTGGGCCTTGGACACATTATTTCACTCCAAACCTTATTTTCATTCCTGAGGCTGAGTCATAAAAGACTCTAGAGGCAGAATAAAGTAGGGTCTGTGTATGTCAGCATTCCTGCATGTGAGTGTGTGTGCGCGAATATGTGCACGTCCAGGCTGCGTCTGTGCAGCTCATTGTGATTGCCCAATGGATTCGCAAAAGTTAGGGAAAAAAATGGAGCAACATCAGGCGAATTCAACTGTGAACATACTGTCGGCCTCATTATCCGCCCATTTCAAGGGAAAGCATTTGGGTCTTGGAATTAGCCAGTTAATTGCTTCACTTCTTTGTTCACTTTAGGGCAGAAGAAACTATCTGTGTTCTGTTAAAACATTCTATATTTCAAAACTTTCAGATCGTCTCATTCTCAATTTTCTTTATTTCCATTGTTACACCACTTGAGCATTCAGATCTGCCAGTATCACATCAACCTTACTGAAAACACACAAACACACACACACACACACTCGCTCACACACGTGCATGTTTCATGCTGGTAAAGTAACTCGTAGTTTCTGCATCTACAAAATCTGGGGGTTTCTTAACTCTTTAAGGTTGTTGTAAGGATTAATACTATGTGTCTAGCATTCAGCACAATGCCTGGTGCAGGAGGAGCATTTAGTAAATAGTAACTCTTAATAACAAGGAGGAGGAAGAGGAGAAAAGAGGAGGAGGGGGAAGAGGGAAAGAGGAGGAAGCCTGCTTTGTTCTCAGAGAACTGCCTAGGATGGAGGGTGTGCGTCTCGGCCTGTATAGGTATAATGTACTCTTTTGACTTACAGCAATGTCCATAAAAGTGAAGCCCTTTAGACCCCTTGGCCTGTAACTACCTCTTCAACAAGGAACAGAGAATTGGGGTAATTATCTGGCTCATTTCAGGTTCAAACTCCCTTTAGCCTGAAGTGTCTGGATCTCATGGGGGAAAGGTCTGGAAAGTGGTGGCTTATATTCTTTGGCTTCTAAGGGAGCCCTTTCTCTTTGCTGGAGTGAGCAGAGTCCTGTCTTAGAAAATGGGTAGAAAATAAATAGGGGGGCAGAGAGCTAGAATTAAACAAAACATCTGAGAAACGTTTGACAAAAACTAGGTCCCACCCAGGAAACTAGAACCTTGGAGCTTTCCATGCACCCACCCCAGAGACCCCACCCCCGCAACAAGTCACAAGCTTTTGCCAGCTTGGGACTTTCATTCCACATTCAGCAAACATTTCCTGAGTTCCTACTGTGTGCCCAGCACTAGGCTGAGCTCGGGGGCTCCAGTAGGAGCCGCACCCCACCAGTTGGCAGTGCTGACTTGTAGCCAGTGAAAGGTCTTGGCTCCCAGAAACAAGTCCAGGGACACAGGAAGGGGGACAATCCTGCTGGGCAAGGAACTTCTGGCCAATCCCAGTGTTGCCTTTTCAGGGCCAAAGTCCTAGTGCAGGGGTGGAGCCAGAGGTCTGGAGCACCCCCCTCCCATTGTCTACCAGAAAAAGGCCAACTCCACGGTGGGGATGGCCCTATGGGGGGAGGGGTGGGGTGAAGACATGACTAGAGGCTCCTGACCCTCAGTCGGAAGTTCCTGAGAACACCAATTAGCTTTCTTTAATTAGTAAAGTAGGAAGCAAATGGGCATATATTTCTTCTGCTCTGATTAAAAGCATTTAGGTCAGGTTTTCACAGCCAGGATTATTCAGTTTAAGCTGTCCCAAGCAGAAAATTGTTTATTTTTTTCTTTTTATTTTCAGGCAGGGGTCTGAATACTATTAGCTAACCATTGGTTTCTTGTCACAGCCCAGAACTGCTGGGCAGGTACGTGGTGATTCTGCTAGCTCAGAGAGGGGCAACTAGGAGTGGGTTTTGGTCTTTCCTGCTCCAAGTCACATTTGTTTGAAACATATAGACAACTGAGGAACACCCGGGAACAGCTCAGTTTGGAGTGTGTCTGTGTGAAGGGGGAGGGTACAATTCACTAGATAATTTCCAGTTCCCCTAATTTTTCTGAACATGGTCCTAGAAAAAGGAAGTTTGTTAACTTCCCAGGCCCGAAGAAGCCTGACTTTTCATCTGGGAGATCTAGATTTGTCAATTCACACAGGTAAGAAGATGGCCAGAAAACTTTTACCAGGCTGGGGAAGAAAAGCTAAGTCCTTCTTTACTCTCTGTATCTAAACAAAGTCACAACACATGAGACTGGCTAAAATTAGCAGGTCCCCCAGAATTGGCAGGGGTCACTTGCTGCTTGGCTCCTACAAACAAGATCGCTAAAATGTTAGGGAGCAAATCCTTCCCCTTTTAGTACAGAGTTTGGTATTTCTCAGCCTCTAACCTTGGCTAAGCCCTCAGCCCCATGCAGAGTTGTGGTCCCCAAGGAAACCAAACAAGTGGATCAATAAGAGACACAAAGAAACATTCTATTGCCTGATCTCCAGATCCCCATTTGCTTGGCTCACAGACAGCTTTAGTTAGGGGGCTATTTCCAGAATAGCCTTCCCTTCCAAGGAGTTCTGGGATGATGTTTAGTCCCTAGCCGGACTTCCCTGAGGCTGCTGGCCCTACTGCTGGCCGGTCCAAGATCAACTTTCCCCAGCAAAGCTCTTCTCACTCTCTCAGGCCCTGGCTCCTGGGGAGGAGAGACTGACTCCTATTGGGACCCCACCCCTATAGGTAGTGGTGGGGAGAGGAACACTGCTTTCTGGGTGCTTTTAAAGGTGAAGGTTGGCCTGGTGAACATGGAGATATCAGCCAAGGGAAAATGAAGATCTACATAAACTAACCATATTTGGTCTCAGCATTTGCCAGACACTGGCTCCTTTGATCAATCCACATTAGAGTTCTTAACCTGGTGTCTGAGGGGTCTGAAATTCTCTGAAATTGTGCAGTTTGGTGAGTCCTACATAAGCACATTTTTTTTTCTGAGTAGAGGGGAATCAATATCTTTCATCATATTTTAAATTATCAGTGAATGCCTCCCAAAATGTTAAGAACACATCATCTGCCATTCTCATACAAACAACCAAAAATGTGAAGCAGAGGAAGGCATTGAAATAGACGTGGGTATCTGACAAGACAAATTAAAGAGAGGACAAACAATTTTGTGTACCACAAAGTCGGGTCCATACTGTCTCCTGGAACTTCCCTAGAACACTGGGCACCTGCTCACAAGGGGTGTGAGGACTCTAGGATGGAGACAAGGCATCTTACAACACCCAGTCCCTACCTCATGAACACTTGCCCACATGGAGGATATGCAAGGTCTCTGCGTCTCTAATCGAAATGATACGGAGTTTTTATCCACTGGGGCCTGGACCTTTTCCTGCCATTTGCTGCCTTGTCCTGAGCTGGTCCATACCAAATGAGAAGCGAAAGTTTCAGGAACCATTTTCCCCTTGCAAATACCCGCTTCTTGAGAGTGAGGGGGTGGGGCGACCCCCCCAGCTCCAGCCTGGCCTGAGGAACTGTGTCTGAGACCGCCACCGGAGCCGCCAGCTGTGACCTCTGAGTTCTCTTGGCCCCCGTTGGGCCTGAAAAAGGGTGCAAGAGACAGCTGGACAGGTAGACAGAAGTAGGCACAAAGAAAG